GAACTAGCCCTTCTTGCCAGCTGATTTAGATTGATCTTGTGGGCAGAGCTCCTAGGCGAGAGCAATTGGTAGCTCCCCTCGCCGTCAGCACACCGCGACATCCGTGCAAATGAGCTGGCGCAATAACATTTGTTTGGTTGTTCTTTGGCTCTTTCCTCGCTGTTGTTTTTTTTTTCTTTCAGGTTTCTTTGTTTCTTTATGGTTTTTTTTCCTTTGTTTCTTGCAGCAGTTTTCTTCGTTTCTTTCTTGGTTTTCAATGATTTTTTCCTTTTCCTATGATTTTCTACGGTTCTTTAGTTCTTTTTCCGGCTTTCATTTGTTTTCCCTTTTTATGTTTTCCTCTATTTTTCTCCATTTCTATTTATTTTTCTCCATTTCTTCATTTCTTTCTTGGTATTCACTGTTTTGACTCTTTTCATTGTTTTTTTATTATTTCCTTTTGTTTCTATTTGTTTCATCGGTTACTTTTTGTTCAACACATTTTTCTTTATACATCTGAAACAGTTTTTGTACACATTGAACCTTTTTCAATACGTGACTAACATTTTTATTTTCAAATATATAAGGTTTTGATATCTATGTTTTTTATATATGTTGTACATTTATCGTATACATGAGGAACACTTTGTTACATATGTTTCACATCTTTTAAATAGTCCCTCTGTATTGGACTATAGAAACGCCTTATATTATTGTACAGAGCTAGCGATAAGCATTTTATCATATATATGATTAAAATTAAAATACGTGATTAAAATTTCTTAAAAAAATTATTTTGCATGTCTAGTTTTTTCATACACATTATACACTTTTCGTATACATCAGGAACATTTTTATATAGATATTTTAATTTTTATTGAAAGATGAATTAATATTTCTTAAATACATGTCCTTATGTCAACTTATTTTTGTACATGTTGTAAAGTTCTCGTATACAATAGGAACATTTTATATACATCTTAAAATATTTACAAATGCATGATTAATAGGTTTATGTCTACTTCTAAATACACATTATATATTTTTTGTATGCATTTTTAGTGTACATCAGAAACATTTTTCTGTACTCAGTTTATATTTTCAAATGTATGGTTAATTTTTTAAAAAATATTATAGATTTATTTACATATATATATATATTTAGAATATTTGAAAGTATAAACAAAAGTAAAGAAAGAAAGCAACAAATGAAAAAAATGTGTACAAAAAGAGAGTGCCCGATCCAGTCTCGCGCCGGCTTCAGGCGAGGCATTCATAGCGAGACATATTCGCACCCGACCTCCTAGCTGCAGAAGTCAACACGTTCGACCAGGCAAGAGAGGTCCTAATTTGCTCCTTGAGAGCATGTTCCCAAATTGGCCATAGCACTCGACCTCGCTAGCACTAGCTCACCTGGGTCGACCGATGACATGTTGACCACTGCCATAGACCATTGATTGCTAAACCTCAAACAACTGAATGTTGACTTTTCTAAAGAAGTTTGGGCAATTAAATTTTCTTTGTGGAATTGAAAAAAGTTCACGAATTTGAAAAATCGTTAATTTGAAAAAGGTCATGAATTTTAAAAACTTTTATAATCTGAGTGTAATTCTATGCCTTGGTATTCTTATCATTTTTATATGAGGGGTGATCAGTGTCCTTATCATGCTTCTTGTGCTATAATCTGATGAGTGTAATTCGGAAAGCATAATTCAACTACCAAAGAGGTGTACGCGCTTCAAGAATTGGAGGGAGTTGGGCTTGCAATTAGAGACTGTTTAGAACTTTCAACTAGTTGGTGGCTAGAGTGACATCCAGCACTAACTAAGGAACAATTATATAAAGTAAAAAAATACTCCAGCTTTCGCTTTCAGCTACTCGCCCGTCCAGTTGAACATTGCACGGTCCAAATGTAGGTTGCCAAGAAAATTGAACGGCTGCATATATGCATCTTCTGTGGTGCCAACAGACATAAGTTGGCCAGGCAGAAAAGCCAAAATATCATAAACTTGCACCCTTTCAAATCTGTTCAAGTAGAAGCCCTCTTTCAGAAACGTTTAGCTGCTACTATACGTACCAGGCACCAGCCAGACTTGGTACACTAATCCCTGGAAGAATGTCAAATCGGTTGTTCAGTTAACCTAATCTGTGGAGGTTGCAGCCATGTGCACCTACACGACCGTTGGAACCGCGATCTCATAGGTATGTTAACACCACAATCATTCTCATTCTCTCCATCATTGCTCACCTCATTCATAAGCTAACTAGATTCCTATTTAAGCACCACCATTGTCGCAATCATTCCTCACCTCCAAACCCACTCGATCGCCACAATATCTAGCAAGCTATCTGCTGCGAGAGAAGCCCAACCATCTGATCGCCCCAGCACAAAGATGGCAGCTGGGATGCGCTTAAGCTTACTGCAGCTGTTCGCCGCGGTTCTCGTGTTCTGCTTCGCGCCCGCCAAGTCCGGCTACTGGCTCCCGGCCCATGCCACGTTCTACGGCGGCGCCAACGGATCTGACACAATGGGTAAGCTATGTAGCCACTCAAGCCTTAACTCCGGCTTGCTCCCACACCATCAAAATATGCCCAATACTATTTATTTACAAAATTTAATAGTCCTGCTATGGTTGTTTGTGACGAGTAAGGTGTTGCTGAATGGTATTCAGTACAAATGTCCCGTAAAATTATGAAATATCCGGCTATTACTGATTTGGAGGATTGTCATTGCCGCTATTGGCATAGCTCGCTATTTAAAATTAGGAAGGTTTATCACCTGGTACGCAATGCAATGAATGTGTGCATGTCTGACAATACTGTGTTTTGCATGTCCAACGTGCAGGTGGCGCGTGTGGGTACGAGAACTTGTACAACGCGGGGTATGGGATCAACAACGCCGCGCTAAGCACGGTGCTGTTCAACAACGGCTTGTCGTGCGGACAGTGCTACCTCATCACGTGCGACACTAGCAAGTCAGACATGTGCAAGCCCGGCACGTCCATCACCGTGTCCGCCACCAATTTTTGCCCTCCCAACTGGGCTCTCCCCAGCGACAATGGCGGGTGGTGCAACCCTCCACGTGTCCACTTCGACATGTCCCAACCCGCCTGGGAGAACCTCGCCATCTACCGCGCCGGCATCGTCCCCGTCCTCTACCAGCAGGTCACGTGCCAGAGGCAGGGCGGCCTGCGCTTCACCATGAACGGCTTCAACTACTTCGAGCTTGTGCTAGTGACCAACATGGCCGGGAGCGGGTCGGTCAAGAGCATGCTGGTGAAGGGAACCAACACGGCATGGATCCCCATGTCCCAGAACTGGGGCGCTAACTGGCAGTGCCTAGCCGGGCTGACAGGACAGGCCCTCAGCTTCGCCATCACCTCCTCCGGCGGCCAGTACAAGGTCTTCCAGGACGTGGTACCGGCCTGGTGGCTGTTCGGACAGACCTTCACCACCTGGCAGCAGTTCGACTACTAGCTATAACATTGTGTAATTTGTACTTACTATTATCAGTTTGCTTCGTTCAGATCGAACAAGCATGGAACTGTCCACACGCATATACATTATTCCCTTTTGATTGCTCAGCTTGTTGCCCATCGAGTCAGGGGGGCCAGGGCCAATAGAAGAGACAAAAGGTTGGAGGGGGCCAAATATATAAACGGATAAACCTAAAGCATATTAAGCTAACAATATTGGGGTGTTTGTAGAAAAAGAAATCATGGGGAGAGCCATGGTCCATGCTCACCCACCCCTGGCTCCGTCCCTCCATCGAGTGGCAGTAGATTTGAGTTGTAAAATCTGTAATCAACGACCACCATGCCATTATGGACTATTTGGCGTGGAACAATATCGATCCCCTCTATGTCTCCTCCACCTGGAACAATATATACTAGGAGTGGGCTTGCGCGCTTTGCTGCATCAAAGCGCGTTTTTCCTCGGTTTTTTGGTGAAAAAACCAAGTTTGTCGAAACCTATTAACATGGGGTTGGCATATTATGCCAACATCAGGAAAGTGGTGGCGACAACACATGCTGACTTTGATTTGATGGTGCTTCTCGAGTATTCTGTCTTGAGTTTCGAGCTAAAAAATCTAGGTCTGGCCCTAGTTAGTCGTACTTGGCAATGGCAATGTTTTTGCGCCATTACCTTGTTCAAGGCATTTCTCGAATTTTCTCAGACTTTATCTTCAAGTTGAAAACTTAGGATTTGATATCTGGTGGTCGGATACGGTGACGATGCGCTTGACCATCATTCCTTTCCTGCAAGAGTTGCTCTTAGATAATCTTTCTCCTTGTTTCTGTGATGTCTAAGAGATGGTTGGTGGGAATGGTTGTAGTTGAGGTTCGTTAATCGTTGTTTTGATCGCGTCAGAGTTTTTCCTTTCTTCTTCTTTTTCCTCCACCTAGGCAGAGCTCCAGTTTTGTATGACTTTTGCCATTGTCGATGTGATTCTTTGTGTATTAGTGTTGGCCATGTACATCCTAGTCCTTCGAATACCAGACGTGTGCTAATTTTGTTTGTATCTCCTTAATACAATATTACTCCCTCCATTCCCTTATACAAGGCCACTTTGTTTTTGTGTCAAACTTTGACTTATAATTTTGGTCAACAAAATATGAATCATATGTCATAAAAAATATATCATCGAAAAGTTCTTTGAAATGTGCATCCAATGAAATACTTTTTCTGGCATACAACTCAATTTTTGTTGGTAAAATCAATGGTCAAAGTTAGACATAAAAATATAAAGTGGACTTGTATAAGGGAATGGATGGAGTATTTCATTTTGAGTGAATGAAATCCAGCCTTAACAAAAAACATAGTTCAACATCATTCTAGGTGACATTGTTAATGCAGCCCCAAGATCAAATCACAACTAATTTGCTCTTCCCGTCCTAAAACACACTTGACTCCTAATAATAACATGCATGAAATCAACAGAAAGTACTTAAATCAACCTCAAATTAATATTGACCTAACTAGAAAAGAAATCACACGGAGACGTGTGGAAGTTCAGTTCCACATCTAACATTTCTGAGTTTTCTTGTAGACATACCGTGCAAACATAGACACTCACATCTGAGCTATCAAATCTTGAGATTGATCAAGTCATCATAGATGCCTCATAGGCGATAGGAATGTTGTCTCTCATCGAACAAACATTGAGCTCCCTCACGTGAAGAGTACCATGTGCTATATTGACCTTATATGTCAGATAGCCACTACCAACTAGACTCTGTACTGATCTCCTCTTAACCTCCTAATTAATTTGATCCACCATTCGCAAAAATAAGTAAATAGTAATGATTTGATCCACTTTGCTGTTACCTTCCATCAATAGGATCTGCCTGCTTTGTTTTCTTCTTGTACTACAATGCACATCTACCTTGTTTCTTCAGTCCTGGCCACACAAAATAATGTGGCACCAAACTTCGCATAGTACCATAAAACCAGGCCTGCATAACACATACACATCAACTAGTTCATGACGTTGTCGGTTGGTAGGCTGGCCTCTCGATGGGCGAACAATCGATCTCTTCCTACTTGGGTTGCTATAAATGTTAGAAGGGAGAGAGAGGTTTGATGGAATAGTTGGATGTATTGCTTGAGCCTCGTGGGCATATATATAGGAGTACATGATCTACTTGGAGTACAAGGCAAGCCAGAATATTTCCTAGTTTAACCTATGTTTCCTAATACAATCACGTTACTCAACATCCCCCTGCAGTCACAACGGTAGCGACACAGACGGTGAGACTGGAGAAGAATCCAAAGGCAAGCAGACGGACCCCCCCCCCATAGTCGTAACGGTCGACGCATCGCGGAGTCGTGGCTAGAGTGGAAACCAACGTGGTTGCTCAAGCAGGCGGTAGCCCTTTGTGCCGTTTGTCGATGTAGCCGAGAGCGTGGGTGGTGGAGCCGTGGTTGAGGTAGCCGTGCGAAGAATGCCGTGGTCGATGTCGAGTCGGGGTGGACGGTATCAAGGAAGTCGCCATGGAGCCGCGGGCGCAAGGGGGCGCCGAGTTAGCATGGGCGCAGTGGTGTCGAAGTAGTGGTGCGCCGGGAAGATGTTGTTGACGACGCGTCGCGGCGGGTTTGCCAAGCCTGGGGACACATCGTAGACAAAGGCACGCACCGGTGTTGCCAGCACCGGGCATGCGTAGACGGACGAAGACGAAGTTGACGAAGCACTGCACCAGGCTTGCCAGGCCCGGGGAAACGTCGTGGACGAAGGCACACATCGATGTTGCCAGCACCGGGCATGCATAAACGAGGACCTGCACAAGTTGTACGCCATGTTGGAGGAGTCAGAGAGGCCAGCATAGAAGGACTCGGCGAAGGTTGCGGCGTCAATCAGCGCGGGGCCGATGTCGCCTGCGGTTGTCGGAGTAGACGAAGTGGTTGGAGTAGATGACGGCGACGCTGGCGACGGGCCGGTGCTGGACGAAGACGAAGGAGGTGGATGGGCGGCGACGGCTACGTGGGTAGTGGCGGGCGGCCAAAGAAGAGCGTCGGCGGCGGCCTGACGGCGGCGGCTAGGTTAGGAGCGTGGCGGCGGTGCTCGTAGTAGGCGAAGAACCCTGACAGTGTGACGAAGATCGGCGCGGACGGTGGCATTCCCGCGCCAAGGAAGACAGCGCGGCGCATACCAAGCGAAGTCAACGCGCGTGGACGACGAAGTGGACCGTGGGCCGCCGCGCTACGGCCCGAAGGGGCGACGCAGCGGCGGTGGGCAGGTCGGGGTGACTGCGGGAAGACCTCGGGGCGGCGGCAGGGACCGCGGGCTGCGGCGCGACAGCCCGAAGGGGCGGCGCGGCGGAGGAGCGCGGGTCGGTGCAACCGCGGGGATGGCCTCTGGACGACGGCGTGGACCAAGTGCCACGCTCGCTACGGCCCGACGGGGCGACGTAGTGGCGGCGCGAGGGTCGATGCTGCCATGGGGACGACCTGGAGCGGACGGCCTCTGGGCGGCGGTGGACCGCGCGCCGCAGTACTACGGTCCGAAGGGGCGACGCAGCGGTGACGCGGGTTGGTGCAGCTGGGAGAAGAACCACGGGGCAGCGGCGCTGCAGCCCGATGGGGCGACGCAGCGACAGCCCATTGCTCGATCGGTAGAGGGGCGCGCTGAACTCGGGACGGTCTTCACGGGGCCTGCGGAGGCGCGCGCAATCGACGGGCTAGGTTGGTCGCACGACATAGATGAGGCGGATCGCGACGGCGGGCGGGTGATCAATCCGATCGCGCGCGAGGTCGGGGACGCCGCTCGGTGGAGGCGTGGTGGCAGCAGAGTCCGAGATGAAGCCGGCGGCGACGGGCGGCAGGGCGGCTATGATTGGCCGCAGCATGGCGCGAGGCCGCCGGGTCGGGGTGATGCAGGAGTCTCGATCGGAGCAGGGCGGTGACGGCCGGCGTAGATCGACGGACGGTCCGTCGCGCGAACGGCGGCAGTGAAGGACCGCCGCATGACGCGAGGCCGCCGGGTCGGGGCGACCGGCGGGCTGACGCGCGATCGGTGAAGACGCCGGCCGATCGCGCTGATGTTGGAGTTGAGGCGCACGGGTTCAACGGCGGTGGTGGGCGACGCAAACCGGATCACATAGACCGAAAAACCAAAAAGGAGACGCCGATCAAAGCGATCGGCGAGAGAGACAAAACCCGGATTAAAGGATCGGGAAAAAAAACTCTCTAGGGCAGCCGGCCAACACGGCCGCCGGACGAACCCTAGATACGGGCGGCACGGCCCCCGGCGGCGGTCATGGAGGCCGATCGCCCCGAGGGCGGCGTGCGGGTACAGAAGCGGCGACAGCTAGGGTTTAGGATCGACTTGCGACATATATCATGTTAGAAGGGAGAGAGAGGTTTGATGGAATAGTTGGATGTATTGTTTGAGCCTCGTGGGCATATATATAGAAATACATGGTCTACTTAAAGTACAAGGCAAATCAAAATATTTCCTAATCTAATCTATGTTTCCTAATACAATCACGTCACTCAACAATAAATACCCAAGCGGACAAGCCATCTTCCTCAGTCAGTCACTTCCAACGATAACCAAGCATGAGTTACCTTCCTAGCCAACTCCGGTCCCTGGCTAATCACCTGCGTACACGGCTTGAAGGGATCTGTGGCCGCCCGGCAATGCCTAAGGTGTTGCCGGCGGTGCTTTGGTCACTTGCTGTGGTGCTTACACTTGGAGCATCAGCTTACATTTGGAGCATCAGCTACTCCAAGCATATTAAAATCTACGATTTCTACGTAAGTCTACTTCACATGTTCATGCGCCATGCATGCATGCATGCATTTTAAATGATGTACTCCCTTCGTTCCTGAAAATGATGTATTCTCTCCGTTTCTAAATATAAATATGTTTAGAAATTTCACTATGAACTACGTACGGATGTATATAGAAAGTGATAGTTTAAAAGATAGATTCACTCCTTTTGTTTTGTATGTAGTCTTTTATTAAAATATATAAA